GTCTTTCACTCGTATTAATAAGTTAAAATTTTTATTAGAAGTAAAAATATTCAAAGCCACACACACAACACACACATCTATTACAGATGGCAGGGAATAATATTCCCAACGTTCTCCAGGCTAGCGCGTTCGCCAGTTTGCTTCTACGCGGCCATAAAATCATTTCGCTTCTAGAAGCGAGTTTAAATTTATTTGCTCCCTACTGCGCCGAACGCATCGAAAACTTATGCCTCGGCGAGAGACTGAAACACCTGGCAACTTTGTCGTTAGTAACGTTAAATATCGGATAGTCTCCAAACATCATCATATTTCACTCTTAAATAAACTTTATACTACATAAATAAAAGTATCAAATTATTGTTTCCTTTTATGACAATAACAATTTTTTAAACAAAAATAGATGCAGATTATGAAGTATTTGTAGCCGAAGAGCAGAAATCGTGAATAAGTACGAAAATAATTGAAGAGGTCGAAATCTTGAAAAGAAATCTAAGGGAACTGAGAAACTTCTTGTATCGTTTTCATTATCGATATAAAGATTCACGTGAAAGAAGCCTCGACAAAATATTCGCGACTTCTCGACAGAGATATCGCCCTCGTATTTGGACCTTTAAGTGGTGTGCCGTGTAAGCCACTTTGAATTTATGATTCGATTTGGTATTCGATTCAGCATCGTGCACTGAAAACATTGTTTCTACCGATAACAGTCAACAAGAGCGAATATTCGGGTTCGTTAAACCGAGATTTTTTAAATATTCAACGCTTATATCACTAACGAAAAAAAAGTAGTATCTAGATCGACATTCTCTAACGAAATCGAATTACTATCATAAACATATTCAAATACAATAAAAATTAAATTGCGAAACTGCCAACAAAATAAAGCTGCACAATTTTATTTACCGAAAACTAACTTGCATTTTGTAAATATAATGATACACGGAGAGAATTTTCTCTTGAAAATCCTGAAAATCATATAATGGCATTTTCCTGCCGGAAATAATTCTACAAAATTCTACAAAAAAAATACTGCTAGAATCTAAGAAATTCTACGTAAATTTAAAGTGTTATAAAAATCAACGTGAAAATGCTAGGATTAGAACACGTTTATTAAGTTTTGTAATATTCTACAAGTAAGTAGATGTTTTAATTCTTTAAGATTTTGTTGTTTCTCAAATTTTTAAAACTAGTAAAGTGCTAATTTTTACAAAATTGTACATTTTCATAAAATACTACTTGCAATAATGTCTGGGTTTGAGAAAATTGTAATTTGTGGTACTATTTCGTAGATATTTTTACGAAAAAATATATGTTTCAACGAAGATATAAAATTTTTTATAAATTTCTATTTTAAGTCAACTTTTTGTAGTTATTTATAGGAATTTTTTCCGCTAGGATTCAAAGAATTTTATGAAAGCTTTTTGAAATCTTACCACGCTCTTTCTCTTTTTACTAGTAATTACACTTAGTACACATTTTATTAGTAAAATGTATGGTAAAATTTTAGAAAACTCATAAAGTTCTTCGAAATGTTATGCTACGATTATTTGATTTTCAGGCAGAAGAAAATTTTCTCCGTGTAGTACGGAATGAAAGTCGTTGAACGTTTCGAGAAGCTGTGGAAGTCAAATCTGTAGTCTTCCACATTAAGCTGTTATAAAGCGAGGAAATATAATTTAAATATGAAAACGACGAAACATATATGTTTATTTAAATTTAACGCGAGATTGGTTTCACTGGGGATTCTAACTAAAGTAGAGATGCGAGAGCACGTTTCTAGAATTTATAACTCGTCTCGTTTTGCAGTTTATGACTCGTTTCTCATTCGTCGCACTTTCTGTACATCTAAGGGTTAACTCTTTCCATTCTCCCTGAGCCGATCTCGCGGTCCAGCAAGCGGGATTCCCGTCTCGTTTCTCTCTCCTGTCGGCATTCCATCCTAGATCCCCCTGCAGTTTCTCGGCCTGCGGTCTAAGCGAGCCGCCGCTCGAGTTAAAACAACGACAAGGACTTGACGCGAACGACGACGGCGAAGAAACGACGGCTTTGTCGAACGATATAAATGTCAACTGCTAGAATTAGACGGAGGATTATCTTGGGTGTCACCCTCGCGATACCTTGATCGTAAGGTCACATGTCTCTATTCGCGAGCGGCTATCGTGCTAGGAATCCTATTAAATTCTTGTTAATGTTCCACCGATTTCATAAATCCCGTAGATAAATTTAATTCACAAACGGTTGCGTTATATGCACAATAAATCATGAAACACACTCAAACTGCAGTTAGTTTAAATATTTACAACTTACAATAATTCAAATATGAAATTAAAAGGAGGCAGAAAATTTGTTGCATGTGTAAAATATAAATTTCTAAATGCATTACGTATATAAATTTTTTTATGACTGGAGGAAATCTTTTAAGTCGCCGGAAGTAATTAAAACTTCAGAAGATTGTCTGACCATGTCTGGCAAATTTTAAACTTTAAACTCACAACGTTTCAACCATGGGTTTGTGGTCCTTCTCAAGTGATAATTGTGTCAATAATTCCGTATATCAAAAGAACAGATTTTGACTGACATGTTTTGCCGTTCGTGAAATTGAGGCAAAACATGTCAGTTGATTTACCATACGGAATTACGGACACAATTATCACTTGAGAAGGACCACAAACCATGGTCGAGACGTTGTGAATTTAAACATAAAAATTTGCCAGACATGGTCGAGCAATCTTCTGAAGTTTTAAATTTTTTAAGACATACACTTCTTTCCTAAAATATACGGAACATAAAAGATCAGAGAAATTTAAACCAAAGATAAAATTATTATTCTGTTATAAGATATAAGATATATAAATTGCATTTATAAGTGTCAGCTTAAATAATATTCTAATCATAATCCGCATAAGATGATTAAGTATCCATCAAGTCAGATTAAACTTTTGTTCCCGTTTTCCTCGCCTCGAAAAAGTCCCGACGTTATGTATGCAAAAAAGATAATCGCGATTATGCGCGTCCTTAAATATCGCAGATCTTGCCGGCGACACGTCACCCAATACATTGAAAAACGCAACGACGAGGTCGTCGCGAGTGATTCAAGATTACGACGCGTGATTCGAAGCCGAAAATTCCCGACGGATTCCAGGATTACGTCGACATAGGATCGACCTTTATCTTTTCTTTTTCGGCCGCATCGTTCGCATCGACCGGATTCTTCCTTATTGCTGGGATCGCCGAATCGTTTAGCCGAAACGGATAATAAAAAGGACGATGAGCCCTACTCGGAGGACGTTTGGGTCTCCTACATGCGGCACGGCCCGCGCTCCCGCAGCCTCCAGGACCCGCCCGCGGAACACTTTCGGGTAACGAATGCGTAACGAGTCCTCTCGAGAGTGCGTCCACCTTTGCATACCGATACCCGGTCCTTCCCCTCCCTCCGTCTCTTTCCCGCAGGTGAGGAATTTTTTCCTCACCTTGTTGAGCCGCAGAATACCGTCTTGGTCACACAGGAAGCCCCATAAACGGTTCGCCGATGTCATCGCGAATTTGCGAACGTGCAACACGGGTTTTTAACTCGTCGAAATCGATACGCCGTTAGAAGCGTTTGAAGCTATTTGGGAAATAATGACTAATTGTTATTTTTAGGTGTGTGTAATAATAACGTAATGATAAATCAAGTGGAAGCGAAATGGCAATGGTAAGATATTTGAAAGATCTCGATGGCGTCCTTGTTGCCAAGAGAAAACTGACGCGGATTATATCCACTTTGTGTCCATCTAATCCAATATAAATATAAAGAATCTTGTACTGTAAAACAGAAGTATATAATCGTTGTTTTTATGAAAATTATAAAGTTGCTTCTTTTCGATTATTCGAAATATACCTATTCAGTTCTTAAAAAAAAATTCTTTCATCATTTTTATTTTATAAGAAAGTGGAAATATAACATTTAAGTGATATACACTTTATGAAAGCTAGTAAGTTCTGAAACATATTTGCTACAAATTATGCAATAATTGTTTCCTAATGATACACCTATTAATTGGCACCTAGTAAAATTCTAGGAGGCAAAATCAAGTATAGATAAAACAATTATGAATAATGCTTGAAGCTTTCGATTTATTATGCTGGTAGAAGAGATTAGTCTGCCACCGGTAATTAAAGTCGACAATTAGAAGTCTAGAAAATTCTCAACCGCTAGACAATTGTCAAGACCGCTGACTTCGCTGAATGAGTTTTTCAGGTTTTTCTCATTGGTTTTTGAAGAGACAAGACTAGTAAATTGAAAAGACAAGCTACTGTCCCCAAGCCACTGGGCTATCTTGAACTCTGTTGAATCTACCGGGCTGATTTATTCAGGATGAAAGTTTTAAATCTCACAACGTACGTTTAATGAATTTAACGCACGGCATGAAAGGGTTAAAGTCCTAAATTCGTCCGGTAACAATATCCAGCGCCACAACCCTTTGAAGAGCGGCAAAAGGAAGAAGAGATGAACAGCTCGGGCCGAACGAATGATCATCGTCAGCATGCACACATCCTTCGGGTGCATCCTAAATCTCGTCCAATGAGGAGTCCTCGGGATCTCGGGTAAGAAGTAGAGGAGGGAGATTCGAGAAAAAGAAGAGAAGGAGGATGAACGAATCGGTGCGAAAGCAACGGTCGCAAGCACTTCCTGCGCAACAAGAAGAGGGTCCTATGCGGCGCACCGCCGCGTAATTGAGGTCCTGCGAGACCCTACGAGAGGCGGCGGTGGGGGCCGCCCTATGTAAGGCCCTGGAAGCGACGAGGTCCAGCCCATCCAGCATCAGGACACCGTGCGTCTGGATTCGCGCCACCTCAAGGATTATCGGTGCCGACCAATTCAGATCACCCGCGAAGATAATCTCGGGAAGATAGCCTTTGAGAAGGGCGACGTTCATCCTGGTGGAGGGCGCCGACCTCTGACAACTGTCGGTGAAGAAAAGGAAGACGAAGGGAGGAAAAATTAGGAGCACTACAAGATGAGAGTGACCGTGATTTTGGTTTTTGTGGCCCTTGCCCTAGGACTCGTTGACGCGGCTCGGAGGAGAGACAGATTTATGACGAAACCGACGCCGTCAGCGTCGCTCGTCGATAGACAGTTCGCCTTCGCTGGACAACCCGAAGGTCAGTGTCAGCGGTTTCCAAGTTGCGACTCTAGAATTTTGCAAGAGGTTTCTACAACAATTGTAGAAACAATTGTTATAGAAACTTCTTGCAGTAAATTAATACACACACATAAGTTCGTTTAGACTACACGAATGCGCTAAAAAATACAAGAATAATTTAAAATTTAAAGCCAACTCTAACACCTCAAGTATCTTTTCAAGCGACTTTTAATATATTTTATTCGATGCGTTATATATTTGCGTTATGTACATTCTGTTTCAAGCACGTTACGTAAATTGTATTTGCATATAAATTAATTATATAATATCACCAATTATTCTTTTATGATTAATGGAATATTAATAATTCGTTTTCCTAGTTTTACCAAGTTTAGTGTCAATGTTACTTTGCAGTTCATAAAAGTCAATTTCTAAAATAATATTTCCTATTGTTTATTATTTACACATGCACAAGTTAATAATTTTTCTACGATTTTAAATCGTAGACAAAATTATTACCCTTTATTATTAATTATCAATTCTTAACTGTAATCACACACAAGCTGATATAATATTAAACTGCCGTTCATCAAAGGTAACGACGAGCGTCTCTCGGAACAACCGCCATTAAATTTCAGAATTGATAAGCCTATGGAACAACTTCGATAGCCACAAATTGAATGTCCGTGCGGACACCTGGAAGAACGACACGTCGGGAAACAACAGGATCGTTCTCAATAGTGTCAGACAGTATCCTGGATTCCCGAGCAATCCGGGCGACACGAATGAGCTTCCGAATCCCATTTCACCACCGGTGCAACCGGCACCACCGGCGTATAAACCCCCGCCGGGCTGCCTGGGCTTGAGGGGCCAGTACTCGAGCCCGAAGAGCTGCGCTAACTATCTAAATTGCTGGGATGACGTGGTGGTCGAACAAACTTGCCCGGCCGGACTGCTGTTCAATGACGTCGCCGGTTACTGCGACTTCGCGTACAACGTACGCTGCGGTGATCGATTGCCCGCCACGCCGAGTGAGTGTCGATAATCGCGCGGTGCAAATCGCCCGCTCACAATTACGACGATAATCGCGATGACTAATTTAAGTAAGGGAATAATTCTGTTACTTGGCAGAGCCACCGTTGCCGGCGGGATCGAAGTTATGTCCGGATCCGAATGGACGTTACAGAAGCTCGACCAACTGTTCGGAATTCTATGTGTGTGCCGCGGGCAAACCCATCAAATTCTACTGCCCTCTCGGTTTGGTCTACAGTGACGTAAGAATTTATTCTACAAAACCCGGCGCGCGTAAACTCTCGTTGAATTTTAACTCACGCAGTGACGCAATAGTGTGGCTCAATGCTGCTTCGAATAGATCTCGAAAAATCTTCCTTATATGTATATTCTATTTAATCTATTTTTACGGAAAAAATTGAAGAGTTAAAATAATATATCACTATAGAGAGAATTTTATATCACATCTTAAAGTAATTTTGATATCATGGATCATTCAAATGTTACATAAAAATCATTTATTTACAATTTTATTTTCTTTGAAAAGCAGCATAAAAATCACAAAAGTTCTAAAATAAGATCCCACTTTCCCGTATTTCATTTATGAATTTTTAGAATATTTTTTCCACTTTACTGATTTCTAAAAAAATGTAATTCTAAAGCATTAAAATATATTTTAATGTTCATAAATTTAAGTAATGTTTTATACGAAACAATTCAACTCTGAAAATTAGAACCTAATGTTGAAATCTAATTGAATATACTCACTACTAGATTATTGAAACACATGACATACGTACACGTAATACGGTAGCATTTACAATTTTATCTTCCAGATACTGAACGTCTGCGACTATCAATACAACGTGAATTGCAAAGGCACAGCCACACCGAAACCACTCAAGCCTACACAACTGCCAACTCAATCTCCGCCGTTGTCTACCTATGCTCCTATTAAGCCGCCCACTCCTCCCAAGCCACCGACTTATCCGCCTCAACCACCAACTTACCAGCCTCAAGCGCCGACTTACCAGCCCCAAGCGCCGACTTACCAGCCCCAAGCGCCGACTTACCAGCCCCAACCGCCGACTTACCAGCCTCAACCACCGACTTATGCGCCACAGCCATCAACCTATCCCCCTAAACCACCAGGCTATCAGCCGCAGCCTTACCCATCACCGCCCCCTTCGTATTCTGCGAATTCTTGGTTGAACCAACCCAAATCCGATTCCTGGCATCAGCGAAACCTAGCGACTCAACAGGAGATCGACAAAGAGACGCAGGAACCAGAAGTATTAACTGATAGTCCAGCATTAGACGATCAGTCCACACATGACGCGATAGAAACTTCCAGTTTGTCGAATCCATGGACTCTACTTCAAGAGATACCACCCGAGCTAATGAGTACCCCGTGTCAAAATGGCGACGTGTACAAGCTCAATAACTATTGCACTAAGGTGGTTATTTGTAGACTCAACAAGCCCATAGTGGTGGAATGTACACCGGGACTTTCATACGACAAACTATCGGACAAATGTATGCCTTTCAAAATTGCGATATGGTAAGGCCGTTTCTTTAATGTATATTTTCTAAAATTCTTTGTTTTTTTGGATACACATTCGAGTTTACTCAAAGAAAACAAAGTACACACTGTATATATTAATACGATTATCTAAAGCAGCGACTTAAATTGATGTATTTTTTTCTATTTCAGTGAACCTGTTACACCTATACCTCCTACCATTTTGCCCTAAGGACGTACATCGAATTAAAAATGATATTTTTATAAAAACACCATATTCATCTTCCATTTCACTATTTGTGCGATAATATTTAATTAAAACTTCAAGCAATAGCTAAAGAATTATTAGTAAGCAAATTTGACAGCGATTTCTCGAGAACGATAATGAAAGGGCCTGAAACAAAATAAATAACGAAGTAGAGATATGTCATTAATGATTTTTCATATTTTACTCCGCATATCTTACTTTGCATTTACCCTCAATGTACTATGCTACGAAGGAAGCGAAAGTTTTCCAATTTGTAAATAAATATAAGCTAAACGTCTATCGCTCTTTTGTACACACCTTTAATTTTTTTACGTTTTAATCCCAATTTTCCCAATCCAGTTTACAGTAAACACATAAGTAAACAAAGAACAGATCCAAGCGAATGATCTTAATAGAATCTAAGAAGATCTGAATGGAAATACAGAATTTCCATCTTTAACAATTAATCAAGAGTTTGGATAAAACAAATTATTTATACGGGAAATTTCTATCGACGGTAAAGAGTTCGCAAGATATCGCACGGTCCATCCATACGCTTTGTATTGAAGTCGCCAGATTGCAGCACGCGTTCGCCACGTTCTCCAAAGGGCGAGGGGAGCGGAGCCGCGGAAGATGGCGAACGGAAAGGGGGTCGGAGGGATGCGCGTTAACGATCGGAGGGGAGATCACACTCCGCGAGGAATTGGAGCGTGATCGATTTACGGAGAAATGTGTCGTCACGGAATGCATCGTACGGCTGGTCTTGCGGCGGCGCTAAGATGGCCGACGTGCTCCTACTGCTCGATATATATCGGCACGTAATTGGGACACAACGCGTTTTTCTACGGCTCTAGAGAGCGTGCATTAAACACGTGCCTTCTCCAGTTGCACCTCGGACGATCCTTTCCTTTCTCGTATAAGTGATCTTTCGCGCCGTTTAACGAATTTATTGGATCGTAACTGTAATCCGCGCCAAGTGTTCCGTCCTAATTTTCAGACACTTGTAAAACCGCGATAATTTGCACCGTGCTATTTTGCGTCGCACGATTTTTATATATGTTACTGACAATAACATAAGAATTCAATCTGATTCGGACTTAAAATTCAATACACAATTTCAATTTTTTCGCAATAAATTTCTTTAATTGGAATCTTCCAGTTGTGTCGATTATTTGTTTCCTACATTGGTTAATTATTCACTGGCGACAATTAGTCTTTATTTCAATTTAAATTGTTTCGAGTTCGCATCCATACAGGCATTAAAATCTCTAACCTTGTCAGTTCGATTTTAAAATTTACTATGTAGATAGCAGAAATATCTGATGTATACACGTTTCTAACTTATAAATCTTTTAATGTGCAAGATCTTCAAGTCGAGTTTTAGAAATTTAAACGTCACGGTAAACTGAATTTCAACGTCGAAGACTTCAATGCCGAAGATTTTAATGCGCGGAAAAGCGCGAGCTCCGAGGAATATATTGTAGTAAAGTGCGAGTATAATGGCAAGCGTGACCTGTATGCGATGCCATTCTTTTATCGATAGCACAAGTTAACAAAATGTTAATAACACAATAATATTTAATAGCGCTATATTACACAATTAACATTTAATTATGTTACTACGATCGGCAAGCTTCAAGGCAACACTTTTTTATCCAGCAATGAATATCTCTTTTCTCTCTTTCGCTTTTCTCGTTTCCGGCGACGCGTTGTCAGAAGAAGTTAAAGACGGGATCAACCGCAACGACCTCTTTAAGGCCTTTCCTCGCAATCGGAATTTCGCGCCTGATCGCGCACGTGCAAAAAGTAAAGGACTGGTGGGTAAAAATGAAATGTATTGTCAAGGGAAGGAATAAAACAATTGAGAAAAAGGGGAGGAGGAAAAATTGCTCGGATATCTCATAATCAAAATATTTTTGAAAAGTCCGTACGCGTATCACTTAATGGGTCATAAAATTGAGGCAGGTACTGGTTACTGTGTAACAATTATATAAACAAATGACTATATAATCACGCAACGATGTTGTATAACGCCGCAGAGTTGTAATATAACGATCATGTAACGATCGCAAAACTGCATTGCGATAATGTAAATATGTAAATAATAACCGCGGGATTTTTGTCGCCAACGTTTCTGCCTTATCCGCAAAGACTGGCAAATACCAGAATGGTGAGAAAGGTTTTGCAGTGGGTTATTCAATGAAGATCGATATTCTCCTTCCCTTTAATGAAGAAAGTGATCGAGCCGGATGTTTTGGTCAAACAAAAGTCGAGAAACCGTTTAGAAATGGGCGATCGAGTATCGAAAGTGGCGACCGGGGAGACGCCTCTCGTTTCACTCGGACTCGATAACGCAAAACTTGATAATTACGTAATAATACGCGACGTTACGTCGGATACGAAACAGCAAAAGGTCCCGGCGAAATGTGAAAAGCGTGGCGAAGTGGGAAGTCATTGAATATGCGAGCACCAAGAATGCGATTAAAGTGTTACTCGAAAAATCTTTTCGCGATAAGAAAATCACTGTCTCTGGTTAAAATAGCGAAAGCAACTGTGTCGTGCTTTGAGGAAATAAAAATAAAGTACAAAAATAGCTTCCAAATGTCATCATCAGTACTGTTTATTGCGACAAGTATCACCACATGCCTCAGTGATCGAATTGGTAAGACGCCCGTCTAGAGTGTAGGGAGGTCCAGGTTTAGGGCTGAGGTAGTATTTTTCGCAATAAATTTCTTTAATTAGAATTGACCAGTCAAGCGTCGTTTAGCAATTTTTCTACAAAAATAGCTTAATTTTCAATCTCTCTTTGTTCTTTTCTTTTTTTTTACTTACAATGCCACCTACTATAAATATATTTTAGTAGAATAGGCTATTCCCCAAGTTTCTTTTTCATCATTAAAAAGTTTCGATGATTTTTAACGACGAAAAAGAAACTAGGAATAGCCTATTGTCATTTGAAAATTTTAAATAAATTCAATTTCAACCAATTTAATGTTTCACCTATTTATTGTATAAGTAGAAGAGGACATCGGGAGTTTTAATTCATCTCTGAACGAGACAGCAATGTTAAAGAAATATACACCACTTTCCCGCTGCTTTCTTATTGCTATCGCAGTGGTCCAACGCGCTTCTATGAAAGCTCGAGAAAATGCCTCGCGTGAAGTCTGATCGAGAGAGATGTAAAGCGAAGTTATAAAATATAACTGCTTAAGTGTACTTAAAATGCAATATATCGTACACTTCATCTTTTGTCACCTCAAGTCTTTGTCTATTCAATCGGCACAGAATGGAACGGAAATAAAAGAAACGAAATCAGAATTGAATGGTGAACGTTCGCGGAGGCATACAAAATGATTGCGTGCGGTAACCATTTGCGACAGGAGAATAAGAGGGATAATCACGTAATTCGTATTACGGAAGGTTCGCCAGACTCGCTCGAGAAAGGAAGGTATTTGCGAGTTGACCGCACGACTACGGCGGCCTCGACCTTTCCGGAAAAGCTTGCAGTCAACGAGCCCTACGATTAGGCACGCGTGAAAGATCAACGATATATGCTCACCGCTCGAACCTCTTGCACGTGCCGTGCAACGCGCATCGATCTAGAATAATCGCCGGATATCGCGCAAACAGGCCGCTTTCTTTTTCTTTTATTCGTTTACGAACAGTAAAAGGAAATAAAAGCCCAATATTTCTGATGCGTCTGGTGTAAAAACGGAAGGAAATGAAGAAAAGTATTGATTTCGAAAGCATTCGAAATCCCAAAGACGTTAAACTGATGTCAAAGATATAGGGCTTTATGATTATTAAAAAATTATTGTTAAGAAATTAATTAATCAAGAATTATGAGAGGGAGTTCATAAAAGTTTAATAAATTACCTAGGGTCTTGACGCGATAGTAACCAATAATTCTAAAATTAGCGCCTTAGGAGGGCGGGCTGATGAGCCCGCGAGAAAATCCACGTGCGTTGTTACGAAATTTCTGTCGCGAGAGGAATCGCCTTTCTCTCACCTTAATGACTCCCAAAGGACAACGTCCTTTCGGCGACCGGGCTGCGAAACGGACGCATCGTTAAATGTTAACACGGCCCGCCATCTTTTCGTGCGAGCGTACAACTGGCCTCCACGCGGGGGGGGGGGGGAGTGATCTCCTTTTGAAATATTACTAATTGTAAACGTGCACCAAGCTACAATTTCAGCGAAAGGTCTCGCTGACCTTTCCGCTCGGATTTTTCGAGCTCGTATCAATAGTCGAGAGCCGAGCGCGCGTTCCACGAGCAGGGAATTTATTCTATTTATACATTATGATCGGAGCAACAAATAGAACATTATGCAAGTTCCCGTTAAGCAGGTAGTACATAATGTCGGCGAAAAATCTTATTACATCGCGATATGCCAAGTATAACGTAATAAGACCTGCTATACAAAATCCGTCAGACACTCGCGCGTGAAATGTGGTCGATGAAAAATTTCATTACGTCACCGCGTCACATGCAAATGAGATCTGCTGTCTTTCAGAGAATGCTAAAATGTTCACGTTTGAATATAATGGAATATGACAAGTAACGCCTGTATAGCTTGTCGCGTCTGCATAAATGATACAGAGATTCCAGCCGCGAATTCAAATAAATCTACACATCAATGAGTACAAGTGCGAGACTGAATTATATCCTACGATTGAGTTTCTCGCCGACTTGATTTACGGTTGATCTTCTTTTAAAATCACATCTTTCTTATTATAGTATTAAATATGAGTAAACGAAACTTCTTTTGAGATCGATCTGTCCGTGTGCAACCCTTAAGAGGATGCTGGAGTGATTCTGCACTTTTGGCATTTTTTGCTCCTAGAACTGTCAATTCATAAAACTATTTGTGTACAAATTATATGGCTTTTATGTACAGACCGACAGTGTCCCACTGTTCAGATTAAGTCAAAGAACAGCATGGTGTCATTGAAATTAAGTTTAGGAGCTCAACTAAGAAGTCTATTCACTCGAATAAGTTATAGGTTACCTAACAAAGTTACCTAACAAAGAACTGATTAGCGTCATCAGTAAGTCCCAGTCTACAATAGATGACTTAAGCCCTAAGCTTTAAGAAATTGGCCAATCACGGTCAAGTATGAGTAGAATGTGCGACTGTGATTAGTCAATTTCTTAAGGCTTAGGGCTTAAATCTCTATTGTAGACTGGGACTAACTGATACTGTTGAATCAGTAACTTGTGGCGTTCGATCCCAGAGATAGCCGGCGTGAGCACAAGTTGCTTTCAGATTGCTAACAAGAATGTTAGCATCTCACTATTCATCTATGTC